TTAAAAAAAAAAAAAAAATTGTTCTTTTTATGAACCCATTTGTCTGAGTTTCACATGTGAAGCAATGATATAGATTAGCCCCATTTAAATTTCTTCTTTGTTCTACGAATTCTTCTCAATTGTGTATTTTTTTTGTTGTAGATTGTCTTTCTGGGTTATTATAAGATATTTTGTAGTTTACCTGGAGTAGATTCTTACACAGTAAAAAAAAAGTTTGAGACGAGGCCCACAATTTAGGTTGTGTGGGCTTCGTCTGTAGCCAATAGGATCAATTTTTTGTTTGTAGAAATTTGTAAATCAATCCCTTTTCTCCTCCATTTTATGAGGAGAAGGAGAAGCAGAGAAGAGGAGAATATCAAGAAAGTTCATCATTCATATATGTATCTTGTCCATTATTGACTGGCCTAACTTTTTCTTTGCTTTTTGTAATCCCTTTGACAAACTCACTTTTAATATTATCCCAAAATATATATATTGTGTATGACTATAGCTTGAAGTCCTAGCCTGAAATGCTTTTCTTCTTGATCACTTGCTCCTTTTCCTTCATTTTCTTCTACAAGTCCCTTGTCTTTAAGCCACTCCCACCTTGGGCTTGTGAGATGAGAATGCTTTCTCTCTGGTTCTTGAAAGACTTCTCGTTTTTCGCTGTCACCAAGTCGTTGCGGAACACCGTCTTAAGCGTTGTTTTCTCACTTTTTGCTTCACTAACGTTATCTGAGAAAGCGGCCCTTTGTTCTCGAATCAAGAGTTTAGAGAAAACGCCCGAGATGTCCGTATTGGATTTGCCGGACCTCGTTTTAGAAACGATTCTCGAGAAGCTTCCGCCCGAGGGGCTATGCAAAATGGCATGCGTGTGTACCTCTTTTAGGGATTGGTGTATGAGTGATCACTTGTGGGAAAAGCACGTAAAGAACAAGTGGGCTCGAGTTGTCGGACCTGCTGCATATAAAGAATGGCAGTGGCAAATTGCTTCGGGTAAAGGTTCAGCCTTTTCCGGTCAACACAAGAACAGGGGTCTAATGGGTTATCTCAACCACCTGTGGCCAGTTGTATTGATTAGGTCTAGTTTAAGGGGTAACATTAACAAGAAGATGAGTTTTTGCCCGACGGTCTCCACTTCTATAATGCCGTGGTATTTTGCTCTCGAGTCTGGCAAGTTTTGGTTCCCAGCTCAAGTCTATAACCGTGAGGTATGGACTGTTCGGTTTCTGGTCATTTCATTAATAATTTCCTTGAATGCCTTTTGTGGGGGGCATAAGGCTTTAGTTTTGTTGAAGTTTATTTGTTAGTCATTCTTGTGCAGAATGGTCATGTTGGATTTATGTTGTCGTGCTATGATGCTGAGCTTTGCTATGATGTTAAGACAAATACTTTCCAGGCCAGGTGATTGAAGATATTATGATATATCAGCAATAAAATTCGATTCTTTACATAATTCGGTAACTTCAGAAGGGGTTTGATTTAATTTTGTGCTTTTTTGTTTTTGTGATCATTGATGGGCAGATATCCGCCACATGGACGACGGCCAAGTGCAATGGAGATCGGTGTAACGTGGGATAGACTTAGAGCTTCCCCTGTTGTTACATCTCCGCATGATCTTCACATATCTGATTGCTTAAATGAGTTGAGACCTGGCGATCACATTGAAATCCAATGGAGAAGAAACAAGGAATTTCCATATGGTATATGCTTAGTTATCGTTACTTTTCTCTTAAAAAAAAAATAATAAAAATAATTAGTTACATCGTATATTTATCTGCAATGGTATTGGTGTTCCTCCTTTTTTTCTTTGTGTCATTTGCTTGTTACGGGGAGATAAGAGGTGGCTTCAGATTGATTGGGATGTAGGTGATAGGAAAAGAAAGTCTGGCAGATTACTTGCACGTCTCATGAGTCTTGATTTGGAATCAAGAACTGAAAAGGCAAACATATTCTACTGTATTGAAGTGCCCATCTTGTTTTTTCTTTTAGTAGTTTTCTTAAGCTAGCCTTTATTGACTTCTTACCAGGTTTCTTTATTTTCTTCGTGAAGGTTGAAACTTCTTTAATAATGTTGAAATAAACCGTTTTCTCTAAATGGAAGGCCACCGGAGTGAGTGGATGCACTTTC